CTGTTACCTTGCACCAGCTGAGGAATTGGCCTTGGAGGCAGCTCAGACGCCAACATTTTCAAACACCACATAGTCAAGGTCTGCTCTTGGCCACATTTAACACTGCTGTGGAAATGCTGGTTGTAAAATCTTTCTTTGAATTCCAATACTAATGCATTTCCTAATGACAGCCTGAAAGAACAAGAAAAAAAGCTGGTAAATGCTAATGGTCCCAGTGGCATTAGAGCACTGTAGATAAAGCTACTTCATGCCAAGCTTGACCATATAGACAGTCCACCACTGCTCCTCTTTCCTCTCAACACCTGCTGTATCCATGGCATGTTACCTGTGGTGGTACTGTTGGGTAGAAATTTTGCTGAAACATGGAATCTGGGGTTTTCAGAGAAGACAACAGGATGGGTTTAAACTCTGTTTAACAAGAGCCTTTTTGAAATGTGCTGCTTTTCACCAAGCTTCCCCTTAAGGAGGAGGTCCTTTGAAATAAAAACACTTTGCAAAAGGTGTTATTGCTCCTCATTAAGTGTCTTTTGGGTTATTCAATGTAAATTTGATGCTGAACAGGAGACATTCTTGGAGACACCACCTCCTGCCAACCCCTGGTCACAAAGCTTTCTCCAAGAAGGATCACCTGATGTGATGAAAGGAGCAGTACTGTTTGTTTTCTTCTTCTATGCATACAATGGTGAGATTGAATATTCAGCTCCGGTTTAGCTGCTGCACAAGTAAATAGCCTGGACATTTAATTACTGCAGCACATTGACCTGGAAAGCAACATGAGTTGTTTTCCTGGCTGGTACACAACGAACTTAGCAATAAAAAGCACTGGAGAGGAGCAGGGAAGCAGCAGGCAAGGACTGAGAAGTAACAGTGAATTTACCTCTCTGCACCACCAAGCACTTCCAGAGCAATCAAAAACCAGCAACAGAGCCCCTACACCCCTTCAGCCCCTAGAGCACTGCTGTACCTGGCACACAGCCTTGCTTCCACCTTCTTTCCAGGAAAAACCTCTTGGATACACACAATACTTTGTAGACTTGCTAACCACTAGGACCAAGAAAGGGAAACTTGATGCCCCCATCCTCTTATAACCATGATGGGCATGTTCCTCAGCTGGCATAAATCAGCCTAACCAGTGACTTTGGTGCACAGCTTCACCTGGGGGTTGTGTGTCCCCGAAGCTTGTGCAAAGGAAGAGTCAAACCTATCTGCCAGCTGGGTGGTGTTTGCAGTTCAGGCAGAGCCTGGTCGGCAGCTGAGCTGCCACGCAAGTTGTGCTGAAGACTTCTGTGTGCAACGCAGAAAAAATGATGGCTCTCTGTGCTCCAACACAAAAGTGACACCCCATTAGAGAGTCTGGGGCTTCAGGGCTCCCAGCAGAAATTAAACCACAACTTCCCATTTTCCATGCAGAAATCAAAAAGAAACAAACTTTTGGTTTTTTTAAAGCAACTGCTTGGGTGAGCAATGATTTTATTGTGCTATTAATATGATCATAAACAAGAACAACATGTGTTTATAGGCTCAAGTGCTTCATTACTCACCCGCTGACTTGGTAAAAATCACCGTGGCATCAGTATAAAGTGCAAAATGGAACAGATCATTGTAGTCGTGTTGTAAAATCATCTGGGCAGGTGACCTTTGAACAAAGGCAATTGATAGCTCCGAGGCAGCTGTACAACAGTAAAGATAATAGTTGTCCACAAGCCACCAGACCTGTAGGAGAGCAAATACACACCATGCCTGGGAAGAGGAGAGAGCACCAAGGGAACTGAGAAAGGTTTGGTAAATAGAAGTAAAAGCTGATCTCTGAAGTGCTTCTGCGAATCAGCCTTGTTTGAGGATGGGCCAGGGAGGGGTGAGCCTGGTCACAGAAGATGGCGGTGGTGCTGTTAGCACAGCATGGGCAGGGTCTGACCAAAGGCAGCTCCTGCCCGCTGGCTGGAGCCAGGTGGGGTGGGACAGCGAGTGCCCTGTGGGAAGCCCATAACCTCCAGGCCAGCCGGGGGTTCCGGTTCTCCTGGACTTCGGTTTTGAGTCCGAGCTTCTCCGTTGCTGCCACCCCAACCATTCAAACTCCTGCAAACATGTGGGCTGAGCTGGGCCGTGCAACCAGGCGTCCAGAGGCTGTAGGAGCAGGATTGGGGATGCAGCATGAGCTGGGAAGACCCAAACATTCCTGTGGTTTTTGTTCACACCTACTGGGGCAAATGCTCCTCTTTGCCATGTAATGAGGGGCACAAAGGGACGTGGACCCCCTAGGGAAGGTCTTCAAAATGGCAGGCTGGGAAGGTAATGGCTGGAGGGTACACAGGTCCCCCTAGATGTGGCTGCTGCAAGGCTGGGACGTGCACAGGGTGAGCTTCCCGGGGTACTGGCTCCTCTGGGGGTGCAAGGACTGGGATGCAAGGAAGCCTCCCCTCTCCCGTGGGGCTGTGCAGACGGTGCTGCCTCTCCTGTTAGGGTTGACCAGGAGACAGAAGTCTGCGGGGATGGCTAATGCCTTGGGGATGGGAGAAAAAGGTTGGAAGATACCCCCGAGAAGTGAAAAACCAGCTTTATGGATGATGCTGTCCAGTGAGTGCAGGGAGCGAGCAAGGAAGGAAAAATTACACACATCCCGGTTGTTTCACTTCTTGTCCTTCTGCCTCATTTCGTCAGTCGCCAGCCCTTGGAGCATCCCGACGCCCGGTCGATGGTTACCAACAGGCAATAAATAAAACCGCTGGAGCCACTGGTGTCAACATCTTGGCATTGTTTGGGTCTTCTTGTTTGCCTTTAAAATAACTCTCCCTCTTGGGGTCACGCAGACGAAAAAGCAAGGACCCCCTGCCATCATCCATAGAAATCATCTTGCCACGACTTGTGTTGCGCTGCCTTTTTTTTTGCCTGGAAAACTTGGGGTTTGGGGAGCTGCCCGGGAGCATTACTTGTGCTACGCCCAGGGCTCCTGCTGCCTCCTGCCCGCCCGTGTCCCGACACGTCACTCCGGGCGCCTGCAGGTCGCCTGAGCCCAGGCCACATTACCTGTTTTCCTGACGCCCAAAGGAAGAGTTTGGGCTGGATTCGGGGACGGTGTCACCCCGCCAGCCCCGTGCTGCTGGCTTATCCGCTGCACAGCTGTGCCTGGCTCTGCTGCGGATGTCGGCAGGCCGGAGAGTGGAAAAACAAATGGGGGAGACGCCGATCCGTGGCGAGAGCCCGGCCGTGCAAACAGGCTGTGCCACTGCCGAGCCCAGCACTGGAGGGATGCCCCTCCGTGACAGCCCCTGCCCCAGCACTGGAGCTTGGCATGATGCAAGCTGCTAATAGAGTTCTGGAGGCACAAGAAAAACTCCTCCAAAGACAGTTTTCATCCATGGGCTTTGATAAAAGGGTGGCTTGAAACCCCCCATGTCCGCACAGGGCTACGTTGAGGGACCAGCCGCTGAGCTATGGCAGCACTGGAGGGGACTGATGCTCCCCAGTGCCTGGAGCATCTCCTTTCTTCCAGCAAGGGTTGCATGGTGGAAAGCACCATCCTCCATCTCAGCTGAGTCGCGACTTGATGTCAGATTCACTCTCCCTGATCATCTTTAGCCTGTTGTTTATAGTAAAAATCAAGTGATCAATCTCTTCTGACAAGAGGAAGAGTTGCTCCAGGAAGCCCTGGACAGGTCAACTTCTATATTAAGGAACTATTACTTGACGGCTTCCTGGCCATAAATAGCCATCCAGCCAGGCTGGGGATTTTATTTAGAAATAACAAATAAAGCAGGCCATGGAAGTAACTTCATGACCTTGCTCCCCCTTCATTTCCCACCCATCTCCCCTCCTTAGTATGGTCTTCTCCTCACCCCCAGTCTCCTCTGGAGCTTCAGGCCCCCCCTGCGTGCCCCCAGCAGAGCATATCTCCCCATCGCCCACCTCCCCGGGGCAGCTCCGAGAAGCTGTAGAAACATGCTGTTGCCAGCTTTTGGAAGTGTGCTGTGGGTTTTGCATCACTGATGATCTTTTGCTACAGCTCAGCTCCAAGAAATTATTTTCTACTTGGCTTTCGTTAAAATAATTAAAAAGGAATCTATGCCCTGCATGGCTCAAAGCTGGAAATCCTCCATTCAAAACATCCCCAAGACTGGATACAAACAAATATACCTCCGACACATCATTTTATTTTTCTGTCCCTCAAACCCTTCTCTTAACTTTTGGAAGACTAACTTCTGATTTTCTAATGCTCTGAGTTGGCAGTATAAAAAACAATCAGGAAATACGAAAGAAAAACAGCATTTCAGTATTCTTTTATTATTGGGAGGTTTTGACCATTTTTGTCATGTAGTTTGCCTAAAATAATCAAAAAAAAATCTTTCTTTGGAGCTGGAAAGGGAAGAGCAGCGTGTTTATTTCATGTATGACTCATCAGCTCAGTGTTGATACGCTAAACGCTTCAGAAGCAACACTCCATACCGTTTTTAATAAAATGTTTAAAATGTTTAAAACAACTGTTGCTTTTTTTTTTTCTCTTTTCTTCCTGTTGTGGCCAATAAAACATAAGGGAGGCCACACAGTTTACATTTTAATAAAATTAAGTTATTTGGTGCCATGTTATTACAGTCTTTATTGGAAAGTGGAATAAATTGCACACAGAGGAGTCATAGGAGGGAGAAATCACTGCGAATAAACATAGATTCTGGGATGCATTTATTTGCTGGTTTCATCTCAAAGGAGGAAGGCTTTCCCCGGGAAAACGGAGGTGGCCCCGGGGCTCCGGCCTCAGGGAGCCAACCCTGTGTTGCTCTGGCTGAGGATGAGCTTTTTGGGGATCTGGTGCCACAGCGGGGGCCATCCCGGCCCCGTCCAGCCAGCGTTTTCCACGCGCATCCTCCAAGAGAAACCTGTCCTCTGGCCGCGGCTCGACACCCCGCAGTCCCAAAGCACTAGGGCAGCCCGTCCTCCTGCCCGTCGGCCGTTTGCAGGGCCAGCTGAAAACGTTGGTCCCGAGGCTTTTTGCCAGAGATTGGGGGTTTCTAGGCAAGCGCCAGGGCGCACCAGGAGTCCTGCCGGAGCGGCACGCTCAGCCCAGGCTGAGGGGCCATGGTGGTGGGGGAGAAGGTGTAGTCCTCGGGCTCGAATTTGAACTCGCCGTGGCCGCCGGCCAGCGCCTCATCTGACTGGCTCTGTGCCTGCCCCAGGGAGGGAAGCAGAAAGTCATTAGAAAGACTGTTATTAGCCAATGGGTCACTCTCCCCCTTGTCGTAACGCAGTGGTAGGACTTGGATGGATTACGGACATGGTGGGTTATCCCTGATGCTACTGCTGCCCTTTGGAGCATCCTGGAGCCGGGCAGGAAGGGTGCTCCATCCCCAGCAAGCACAAGGAACAAGCGGGGAGGAGGCATCCTGGGCCCATCTGCATTTATTTATTGACTAAACATGTCCAGTTTGGAGATCTCTAGGTGTACGTATGATTTTTAAGAGCACAGCACCATCAGATTTAACTGTTTCAGGCAAAAAAACCCCTCTCCCCTACAGCGCAGCTGGTGCCATGCCCGGCACTCGGGCACTGGAGCTGAGCTTCCCCTCCATGCATGCATATCCAGCTCGAGGAGGGCTTAGACCCAGCATAAAGATAGTACTGGGTCACAAGATTTTGATGTGCGGGTTGATTTAGAGCCATTTTTCCCTCTGCCAAGACAAAATAGCAACCTGCCCCAAAGAAATCCTCGGGCCAGAAACACAGCCATGCAATCTGGGGTCTCTGACAGCATTACAGCTCTGTGAGCACTGAGTACCTCAGGGCTATAAAGTGCGGATAACATATGCCCAGGGAGCCTTTTCTTGGGAGCTACAGAGGTTTCCACCCTGGGCTGATCCCACCAACTCGACAGGGTTGTAACTCCCAGGATTTCATGGCAGGAGATGGGAATTAAACCCAGCTAGGTGCCGAAGCTGGTTTGCCACCGATCGCCTCCGCAGCAGCAGGGCTTGGACCTCCCAGTTCCTCACTGCAAGATGGAAGAGCCGATGGGGAGCCAACAGGCTGGAGCCCTTCCTGGTCCGCAACATCTTGGCTCCCTGCTTTCCTCAGTCTGAGGCAGTCCATCAGGCTGGCGACCCCCAGTGCAATGACCTAATTGCTTAGCCTCATCAGGGCACCCCAGGTCAGTGACTACTGAGGTGTGTGGAGCATCCACCCCAGCAGGTGATGGCTGCGGGCCCCTGTGCCTTACCTGGGACACCGACACGATGGTTTGTCCGGGATACTGCGAGGTCGCGCTGGGCTCTGACTTTAAAGTGACCGTGCTGTCTGAGTTCGTAATGGAAGAAGGGGAGTTAGTGGCCGAAGTTGTAGACCCTGGAAGACAATCGGTACAGGATGGTGAAGCAACATAGGTGCAAATCTGCACTTAAGGAAATTTATATTTTAGTGGCTACCATCACATCTCATGGCACGACTCTACTGTTCTCTTTCTCCACCGCATCTCTGTCAGGGTAAGGCTTTGTATTTGGCTGCCAAGATGTTGATGGAGGAGGAGGAGCACCCTTTCACAGCCTGGCAGTGCTGGTCCTGGTACAGGCCGGATGGGCTAACGTTGAATGCGTCGTGATACCTTCCCCTCAACTCTTTAATACACCGTTCCCAGCCCTGTTTTTTCCCATTACTCAATTTAGCCCAGATCTGCTTGAACACGAGCACTGCTGGGCTGGAGCTGGGTGCCCACAGCGCAGAGGAACCTCATGGGAATATGACAGCAGTGAGATTTCCCACCCAGCATCCTCCTTCCACATAAGAGCTAGGCATAAATACAGGCCCTACATCTAAAGCAATCATCAGGGAAAAAATCACAATATTATTTTCTAATTATTGTAATTTCTTGCAGAAGACATGTTGAGGTGAACTGTGCTCCAAGCCCCCATGATGGATCATAGCAGCACTGTACCTGTTGAGGTTTTGCCTTTGATAATGTTTTTAGGCTTCCTTTTCCTCGTCTGGATGCTTTCCTTTTTCATGGCCAGAGGTCGTGGTACCTTGACATTCATAAAGTTTGGAATCATTAATATTGTATTTTACTTAGCTCCTTCCCACACACGTGTTGCTCTCTTATTTACGTGCTGTAGCTCATGCAAAGCACCTAAAGTCCTTGTCCTTCACTAAGTGCTATTTTTCTCTGCAGCAGGCCTTGGCTGGAAGATGTATAAGGCTAACAGCTAAGGCTTTCCCACAAATTTTGTTTTTTCCTTTATTTCCTATTTTCCTTTTCCTGATTTATTAGTGACCTTTATGACAGGACCCTATTAAATTACACTGACAGACTGAGAGCCTACATGGCTCGGAGGGAACGGTCATGGGATAAAGAGACTTTAACCTTTATGGCAGAAGTTTGAAGAGGCCTATATGGAGGGATGAAGTCTCCTCTTTGGCTGATGGACGTTACCAACAGTTCCCATCCTCTGTGGATAAATGTTATCAGCCAGCCTCCATGTGGACTCCTTAGCATCCTTCACACATTCTTAATTACCACATCTAGAAGAAATATGCTCCTTATCTCCAGTCTAGGTTTGGGGAGCTTCAGTCTCCAGCTACTGGAGCCTGGTAAGCTTTCTCTTTGGGGAATAACTTGGCAAACAACCTAATTAAGAGCCACCCAGTGCCAGAAATCTCTCCTCTATGCAGGTACCTCCTGAGAGTGTTCCAGTACCCCCTCAGCCTTATTCTGGAGAACCTCAGTAGACTGAGCTTTTAACTGTTCAAGGAGACAGGACTGGGTTACGGCTCTTCTGGGTCCAGTCTAGAGTCTGGTCCCTCCAGATCTGATATCCTGGAACTGCTGGGCGGTGATCCCAGTGCCCAAAGGGTCCCTCCCAGTGCGGACGCACTCCTCACCCCGTGGAGCTTCATGTACAACCCGCAGGCGTTGCAGACGGGCTCCCCTTCGGCGTTCCTTCTCCAGAGGGTGGTATTGGTTGTGTGGCAGTTAGTGCAACATAGGCCAGCACGTCTAGATGAAGACTTAAAAACAAGCAAACACACACATGAATGGACACATAGGAATGATTAATTGGGAAGTTTCCTTTCATATAAAAATAAAATCTGTAATTTCAGCTATTTCCTGAAAAATGTGAAACACACACGATAGCCAAATTCAGATCAAAGAAATTACATTCAAATGAGATCACTCCAATTTGCAAGTGCTTTTTTTATTGAGCTTGGTAAACCTGGCAAATATCCTTGCAACTCATTTCACAAACTTCCAAGAAATCTGCTGGAAGTGATCGAGACTCAGAGCAGAGAGAACTTTCCTCCAGGAGATCCACTCAGATGGAGAAAGAGATGGAAAATGCCAGCCAGGCTTTAAGCACACGAAGAAAACTCGTCATGCTTTAAGCGAACTCTTCTTCTGTTTTTCTGTACTCAGAACTACCACTAAAGTTAGCAACATCCCAATTAATCTCTGGTTTAAGACAACTGGAATCAATTGGCTGAACTGAGCAGAACCAAACTGAACTGGCCCATGATGGGACCAGGGAGGTTATTCTTTGCGTGTCTCGCAGATAATCTGTTCTCTTACAGGCTGACGGAACACCGTGCAAATGTTAATTAATGGCTTATTTTGCAAGTGCAGTGATCGCTGGCTCTGAAATGTTAATACTTCCAAATGGAGAAGGAAAATATTCTGGCAGAAGCAGCAAACTCATTTCTGACAACTGTACTCCACGCCACTGGAAAATTCACAAGTCTCTATAGACAGACTTGTCAGCTCAATAGGCATTTCATTTGAAAGTCTCTTAACACTAGGTATTGAAACTATTTTAACAAAAGACTTCACTAAGTATAAGATACCAGTGACACAAGTAATATCACAAGCTCTCCACATTCAGGTGTTTGAATACGTTCTTCAGCCTTGAGAAAAATCACTTTGATTCCTCTCAAAGGCAGATGATAGGTGATGCAAGCAATAAGGAACTCCTCGTTTGTTTATTCGTCCATTATTGCTTGATATCATGACTGAGCAATATGACGAATGAGGTGGGAAGAGTAGGAATAAAAATGAAATGTTTTTACAAGATTAGCAGTCAAATAAAGATCAGCTTTGAGTTTCAAGAGACACAAGTGACATGCCCAAGCTTTGATTCACGCGTTGCTCAGCAAAGAGGTCTCAGCAACTATTTGCAAATAACAGTATTGCTTTGGAAATTATTTAGCTTTCAAGAAATAACCAGGCAAAAATAATAATACACCGACGTGTGAGCTGACAAGCCTGGCACAGAGGAGGGGGCAGCAATCCTTGTCCCTAATATGGGACATGCTGTCACAGCAAGATCCTGGAGCTGCTACAGAGCTTCCTTAAAGCCTTTCAGCTGCCGGGGCTGTGCCGTTCACCCCTGCAACCAGGAGGGACCTCAGCCCTGATGGGAGCAGAGGGAGGTGCTGAGCACCCAACGGGTGCAAGGGGCTCTGAGGTCCAGCTCCTGCTGCGGGTGCAGAGGGGAATTTGGAGGCACTCAGCCCTGGGGTAACTGTGCCCGGCATGGGCTGGTGAGATCTGTCATCGCCTGTGGATGGAGGAAGGCCAACACAAAGCCCTTTGGAAAGCCCCGAGATTTCTGGGCCACCGCAGGCCCCTGGGAGGGAGGGACACGCTGTCCCTATTTCATACAACGCTTTGTCCGCGGCTTGCAGACGAGGTGGCAATGAGACCTGTGGCTCCGGTGGCCCGAGGGCAATGCCAGCCCTGCCAGAGCTCTGCCCGCCCTGCCATCACGGCCTGCTCGTGGGCTTTCTGCTGGGGCAGCGGCACATGCCTTCTGCATCTCCTGCACATCACTCTGTGGGCTGCCTCCTCCTCGCACAGCCAGGGGGAGCAGAAACCATCCTCCACAGCTAAGTATTACAATATAAACCCCAGAAACCCTGTGAGAACCTGGCCCTGCACCACAACCTGCCCGCTTAGCAAGAAAGAGACGGTCAAGGCTACTGTTGCTCACTGAAGGACAAGGGTACAATACTTTATTGCTCGTTTCCCAGCAGTTCCCTTAAAAGAAAATGCATTTCTGCTTGCCTCCACCCGGCTGCCTTTGTACCATTCTGACCTTGTCTAGGAAGTTGTTGACTTCAACATTGTGCTCCAGTGTTTATTTATACAAATGCAGCGTACACTCAAACAAAAACTCTTCACAGACCAGGCTTGACAGCCAAGTGTTGCTGATAAGCTCAAGGAATGGTGAGTTGGTGCCTATCGAATCAACCGTGTGCGAGTGCTGCTTGGAGAGCCCAAAAAATTCAGAGCCAGCAGGGCAGGTCCTTCTGAGGGAGCCCAAAGCCATCAGACACTTTGCTTCACCTCCTTTTCAAAGGTGGAAACGAAACCACAGGGTTTCACAAGAAAAAAAGAAGCCTCTGAACCCCCAGATTTAATCAGTGCTCCTCTGCCTCCCTTGCCAGCAGGACGAAGGGGACCTGGTGTCGATAGGAAAGAGGTTGCAGCAAAGTGTGCTGAGACACCCGAGCTCAGTTCCTGAAAGTGGGCAGATCTGAGGCTCAGAGCCAAAGGCAGCAGCAGCATCTGAGATTTGCCTTTGCTATCACGGCTCTGGGAAAACCCACACCTCGGAGGACAAGGGAGCCGCAGGAACTGATGGCCGGGACGAAGCCAAGGCACACACCACGAACGCTGCACAGCTCTAGGGTCCTATCAGGTTGTCCCAGGGCTGTGATCAGTCCCATCCCCACCTTCCCCAAAAGTGTCACCAAACCCACTATGCATTGCAAACTGTAAAAAAGGCCAGGCTGAAAAAACACCCCCTGAGCCAAGCCAGCAAAACTCAACTCCAGGTTAGTCCTTCAACTCAGGACGGCGTGGGAGCTGCTGAGCACAGGACGGCTGCTGCATCTGCCCCCCCTTGCTGCACCGTGCAGTGCAGCTCTGCTCCTAACACGGGGAAATTGCATGCGCAAGGATGCTTCAGCGGCTGCTCCTGGATGGTAAAAGTGATTTGGCTTTTAGGACTGGGTCTAAGGTATCATCCTGTGAAATGTGCCAAGAAACTTTGGCTAGAAAAGATACTGCCGAAAATAAAGTGCTGCTTCCACCCTCCTCGAAGATAAATCCTTTCTGCCGAAAGCCACAGTGCTTTGAATCCAGACACAGGCTGTAGCAAAACGGCTGTCCCTGCTGTGTGGAGGATGTTGCCCTTATCTCAACAAAAGAAACAAAAAATGAACTGGAAACTACACTACTACTGCTCGCCCTCTCACACACACAAGCAGGCTGAGCGCTACTGAGCTGCAGGACGTCATTCCCGCAGTGTTATCTGGGCCACGTTGCGTTCTCCAGGGCTTTCAGCGGGACTTTGCTTTGTGAAAACAGAAATCAGAATAACTCCCAGTGCGGCATCTACTTACAGAACAAAGGTCGTAACGTAAAGGACAAAAGCAACCATTTTTCCTTCCCGTGTCTGTATTTCACCGCATTGTGAAACAGCTGATTTCATCGTTCCTAGAGCAATGGTGTGTCTCCGCGTTCACTGCTCTGCTCCCACCCAGCCCACGCAGGTGAGGTTAGGAGCAGGGAAGACATCCCCCGCCATGGAAATCGTTCGGGGGAAGAAACATCCCAAGCCACCGAGGTGCAGGTTGCTCCCTCGATGGTGGATTTACGGAGCACGCCTGGCACCCTCTTGTCCACCATCAGTGGATCCCCCTTCCTCCAACGGGGCAGAACTTGTTGCAACATGACATTTCAAACCCTTGGGAAAATCCAAGATTTTGAAATGTTTCATTCCAAAGTCAGGATGGAAAGTCAAAATTGCAGCCTCTTTTCTAATCCATAAAACAAAATCCCCTCAAGTATTTCAACCTTACTGAAACATTTCCCCTGGATAAGAATCAGCTCTTTCATTTGGGCTTTATCATTATTGTATTGATTGCCAAAATAATAATAAAAAAGGTTGGAATTGCTTTGATAATTCCTGGCAAGATTTGCTCATCCCTGGGAAACGGTCTTAATTCTGCGAACCAGCGTTCTCCACCAGAAAACTTTGTTGAAATATTTGCCGAAAAATGCCTCACGGGTGCTACGTATGGGGCTCTGCCAGCAATGACAGAGGAGCAGGCAGGGAGCTCGGGGTTCCCGAGCACTGCCTGCACCACGTGGGCAGGGTGCAGGCAACGCAAGGCTGGCTCCCTTCCCACGCACCGAAATAAAATACTGAATAGCAGCGAGATCTCTCCAATTCCTTTGGGGAAAAGCTGTTCAAAAAAACCCTGGAAATTCACCCAGTGCCACATTTTGATGCCAGTATGAAATGCGGAGTTGGATTTAAGTTGGTTTGCACCTCTCTCTCTATGCACGGATCGTATTTGCTCTGAAGAAATCAGCAGCGTAGCTCCGAGATTTGCAGCACAGCAGCGACCAGAGCCCACTGCCGGGGTGCAGATTTAATGTCATTACATTAAAGGAGACCAGGAGGGTTTTGGTGAGACAGGCAAATCATGTCGGATAATGCTAAATGTTTCACAGGAATGCCTCGATTTTGACTGATGAACAAAACAGGGTGATTTTCCATGGAGCCGCTGCTCATTTCATTTTGCAAATCCAGAGCCACATTTCAGGGATCGGAATCAGAATGAAACATCTTGTTCAATCCCAACTTTTTTTTTTTTTTTTTACTGTTTTCTTACACAGAAACTTGTCACTGTTGGGTTATTGCTAATAATTTGTTTTGCAATGCAAAAAAATAACTACGGGAATACGCCCTGAGCGAAAGCAAAAGGAGCTCCCAGCATTTTGCAAATCCAGAGCCACATTTCAGGGATCGGAATCAGAATGAAACATCTTGTTCAATCCCAACTTTTTTTTTTTTTTTTTACTGTTTTCTTACACAGAAACTTGTCACTGTTGGGTTATTGCTAATAATTTGTTTTGCAATGCAAAAAAATAACTACGGGAATACGCCCTGAGCGAAAGCAAAAGGAGCTCCCAGCTGTTCCCCGGCACGGCTCTGACAAACATCCTGTTTGTAATGACGGCTTCTGATGACAGGCTCTGAAACCAAAACTGTTACCACCAAATTTAAACATCCCAAAGCGACTCTACAAAAAAAAAAGGAGGCGCCTTTCCTCTCTCACGATGGGATCCCAATTGGAGGAAGCCCGATACCATGTTGTGGGGGGGAAATAATGCTTTAACCTGCAGAGAAACCGGGAACTATCAAACCCCAAATTCCCCCCTTAGGCGGGCGGGTGAAGGCAGCAGGGGAACTGGGCCCCATCCTGCTCCCAATGTGAGTGGCCACAAACTTGCCTGGGCCAGCTCAGGATCAGCCCTGTCTCCTGTTCATCTACCCTGCCTAGACCACGTGAGTCTGCATGAAGAACTAGGAAATAATAATAGTAATTATTACAGAATAAAAAGCAACGTGCCTGCTGCCGGAACAGAGCTGGAGGAAGCCCGTAGAGCCCCGGACCGCAGGCAGGGCTGATCGGCCCCCGCTCGGCTGTGGTGCAG